ATACCTGTGTCTTATCTCTTGTTGGGACTGAGAGTGGGGCGGGAAGGGTCAGCGTTACAATACCTGTGTCTTATCTCTTGTTGGGACCGAGAGTGGGGCCGGAAGTGCCAGCGTTTCATCGGCGACCATACTCCGCGCCGACGCGGTCCCTTCGTCGTTCACGTTTTACGCTGACGTGGTGTCCCTCGGACGACGGCAAGTCGCGGAAGACACCGTTCACCGAAAGATGCTGCTAACAGACTGCGGTTCTTGCGCGGAATCGTCTTGCGATCGGGCCCCAGGTTCGCGCGCGCGCGCGCGGGAGCACACGCGCGGGCACGCGCGGGCACCTCGATTCGCGGCGAACGGCACGCGACTTCTGCACGTGAAGTCGCGTGCCCGCCGGAAGCTCTAGACCGGATACTTTGTTCGGACCGACACGGTCCCGCGGAAACGCGTTTACTTTACCGATTCTGAGTCACGCTGCCAGCCTTCCGCGGCGTCGCGACGGTCGTACCCGTCCCTCGACGTTCAAAAAGTATCGAGTTCGATTTCATTCGTTGCGTCGAGCGAATTTCTTTCAATTCATGCACGAATCCAAACATCGAGCTTCTCAGCGAGTCGAAGACGTCTTACGTAATATTCGATTGTCGCGTGCGACACGTTTAACCTTTTCGCAGTCTCTCGTACACAGTTATATGGCGATACCATTCAGTCGTGGCTTCGATTTTGTCATCGTAAACTTCGGACGGTTTACCAGAACGTTGGTCATCTTCGAGTGCACCGTCGAATTATCATTTATTTCGAAGTTTACAAAACGTTTTAAATGGTCAAAATTTCAATGACAACGATAGCCTCGAATCGCACTCGATCGAATTTTTTTACCGATAAGTAGCGGAAGTTTTATGAGCGCGGAGTCATGAATTTACCAGAAAGATGGCAAAGGGTCATCGAACGGAATGGAAAATATTTGACTGATCGAGGTTCATTTCTTGTCTAGAAAAATTAGAGTTTTATTTCACATCGAAATACCGAAATTACTTTCTTGCCAATCTAATATTATCCCAGTCGTAGCTGTGAGAACACGTGAACCCACCCCTCGTCGACGCAAACGCCACTCGAGAGGAGCCGAAAACGGGTGCAGGAAGTAGAATATTCTGAATGCACGGGATACGTAAAATACGCGGAATGAAGAGAGAGAGGGAGGGAGAAAAAGAGAGAGAGAGGGAGAAAATGAGAAGAAGAAAGAGAGAGAGAGAGGGAGAGAGAAAGACAGAGAGAGACAGAGAGAGAGAGGGAGAGAGAGAGAGAAAGAGAGAGAGAGGGAGAGGGAGAGGAAGAAAGAGAGAAAGAGAGAGGGAGAGAGGGAGAAAAAGAGAGAGAAGGAGAAAAAGAGAGAGAAGGAGAAAGAGAGGGAGAGAGGGAGAAAGAGAGAGAGAGAGAGGGAGAAAAAGAGAAGGAGAAAGAGAGAGAGATAGAGAGGGGGGGAGAAAGACAGAGAGAGACAGAGAGAGAGGGAGAGAGGGAGAGAGAGAGAGAGAGAGAGGGAGAGGGAGAGGGAGAGGAAGAAAGAGAGAGAGAGAGAGGGAGAGAGGGAGAAAGAGAGAGAGAGAGAGGGAGAAAAAGAGAAGGAGAAAGAGAGAGAGAGAGAGAGGGGGGGAGAAAGACAGAGAGAGACAGAGAGAGAGGGAGAGAGGGAGAGAGAGAGAGAGAGAGAGGGAGAAAGAGAGAGAGGGAGAGGGAGAAAGAGAGAGAGAGAGAGGGGGAGAAAGAGAAACGTAGGAAGCTCCCGAAGGGTGAGGCCAAATTATTTGAATCGCGATGCAACGGTGAGCAAGAATGACACCGGCCAGCGGCTGGAATGGCCACGCGATCCACTTTCTTCCCCTAACCCCTCCGAGCGCGGCGGACACGCGTGCCCGACGTGTGCGGATCCTCTCGCGAGAGGATCGGCCACGCGACACCGTTCTCCATCCACTCGCCTTATCTCTTCTTCGAGGTCGAGTCGCAGGAACGTCCGAGAAGCGGTCCGCCGCGACGCGTCCGAAATCGGCGGAAATGCGCGCTAATCGCTGAACAATGGGAAAGAATTTGAATTCTTAATCGGAGCGATAAGGGGGGGAAATCTCTGTTTCCCGTCTAAATAAATGGAATATCCAGCTGGTGGGACCGCGGCGGAAAGTTAACGATACGATTAGTCAGCTCGGTTCCCAGGCGCGGGCCGACGATAATCGTGCGAGCGCGTGCTACGTACCATTCCTGTGTGAACTTTATCGTCGCCGAACCTCCCTGTCCCACACTCTCTCTCTCTCGCGCGCGCTATCTCTCCCCCTCGCTCTCCCTTTAGACGCCCACCCTTCGTGGCCGCGTGAATCGACTTCGAGGGGGCAGCTAGGGTGGTGGCCAAGTGATTTCATGGTGGCGCGCGCGTATCAATTTACGGGATCGAGGGCTAAAGTGGGCGAGACGGCTCGGATTTGCTTGGATTTCGAAAATATTTCTCTGCGAACGTCGTCCCGCGATTTCCTCGATCGGTTTCCTCCTTGGACCGAGGAGGAATAATTACGGCAGGTGCAGGCGAAAAAGAAGAAGAAAGAGAAGAAGAATTAATGCGATCTTTATTCGTCACAAGTTATCGGCGGACGATCGAACGCAAGAAACAAATAGGAATTTCGGATAGAAATTCCAATAGAAGTTCCACTACACGATAGAATTACGCTCCCACTGTACGGGGTGCCGCGCCGAAAATGCGCACACAACGCAGGGTCGGTCCACTTTTGTACGAAGATTTTCTGAAGCGTTAAGCAATGACCGTGCTTAATCCGTTTCTAAATCTTTCGTTTCCTGTAAACATTCTATAAGGGGCCTAGAATATGTTAAAATCTGTGAAGAAGTTTCGAAGAAAAATGTAACCTGAAATTTTTTCAATCGATTCAGATCAAACGACAATTATACCTGTGGCTGTTTTTTCGGAATCCTTGTAAGAAAAGACTTTATCCGTTCGAGTCCCAGGGATTATCCAGAAAACACGGCCGAAAGATGCCAAACGGCGTGATAGCGCTGCTTGGGACTCGAACAGTTATTAGAATAGTTTCTAATATGTCAGAAATATGGCTTACACGGATGCCAGATGTATTCGGCACTCGTCCATATCGGTCGTCGGATGGATGCCGGATATATCCGGCGCTCGTACCGAAAGGGTTAACGCCGCGAACGAATGCGCTCCGAATGAGAAAGAATACGTTCTCTTTGTTGGTCGGATAAATTCTCGCCTAGGTTAAATTATTTATCCCGAACAACGACGAAAATCTTCGCTCGCCTTTCAATCGTTTCGTTCGAGATTTCCATTCGGACAAACGCTTCTCGCCCGACTCTGTTTTAAACGTTCCGGGTGCGCCGATCTCCTCCTGGTTGAACGAACGAGATCGTTCTCTTATTTACAAGAAAAATATGTATACTTTTATGTACACTGTACAGGACCGCGCTCGCCATTCGGCAGACCTCGCGAGCCAAGGTAATATAGAATAAATAATATCGCGCTAATATTCCGCTATTAGGTACTCGCATGACTATCGATCGTATCACACATAGAGAAAACACTTCGGTGCGTATTTCGGTGGATCGTGCCACGGATCCAGCTTTCGATCCGGATGGATGCCGTATATATCCGGCGCTCGGCCACACAGCTGACCTGATGTACCGAAAGGGTTAATACGATTTCCATTTTACGCAAGTTATCGGGGCCCATCGATTGCCGGAAACAAACAGAGATTCCAACGAGGATTAAAATCGATCTAAGCATTGTTCGCTAAAATCCGTGGTCCAGCGAGAACAGACGGAAGCAGCGAGTACCGTCGTCTGGATTCAAGACGGACGTCCAGAATATGTAGGGTCGATGGCGCTGGATCGTGGAAACGGGCGATTTTCGGGCTTGCGGAAGAGAGGACACGAGGCGAGAGAGGCTAAGCGCCGCGAACGCGAAACGTTCCCACGATAATCGCCCCCTTCGATCGCCCCCCCCCCCTCCGGCCGTCTCGTCCCGTCTCGTCCTGCTTCGGTCTAGCCTACGCTACCCTCTCAGGACGAAGTAACAGGGGTTCGGAGCTCGAGGTTGCCTTTCACCTTGAATCGAGGAGCGAAAGAGAGAAGTTGCCCCCCACCAAACGGGGGAGCGGAGCAAGACTCCCCACTCCGTGGGCCGGAGTTGGGGCACGGAACGGGGCACGCGGTCGTGTGTCGTCCCCGGTCCTCCCGCACACGACATACGTCGGCCGCCACGCGACCAGTGCACACGCACGCGAGTGCGTCTCGCAGCAGCCAACAGCCAACAACAGCCAGCAGCCAGGAACCGCGCGCGGTGTCCGCCGAACCAACTCGGTCTACGCTTCTTCGGGCCGCGCGCAATTTGCTCGCGCATTTGCTCGCGCACGCGACCGCGACCGCGACCGCGAGCCGCCGGTGTCCTCCGGCACGTGTGAATCCGATCGACGTTCCCGCGTAACAAGTGTCCATCGCCGTGTCACGCGCGTCCACGTTCGGGCCGAACATCGGCCGACGATCTCTCGACGCGATGACGTCCCGCCCCGACGGATCCGTCGCGTTCGCGTTGCCGACCCGGTGCGTCCACTGAGCCGCGAATAAAAACAGTTCGCGGCGTCTCGCGTTCTTCTCGCGCGAACGGTTCACGAGTGCCCGCGATCGCCGAGTTTGCCAAGAAAATGTGGCGAGTGGTGGTCGCGCGGTCCGACGAGAACAGCACCCTGCTGTCCTCGGAGATCGCCTCGGGCCCCGTGGGCGCCGGCCACGTACCCAGCCTGCCGGGGCCGCCCTCCGGCCACCACTGGGGCTACCCGCCGCCGCCGCATCCCTCTTATCAGCCGCAGCATCCCGACATGCGGCACCATCACGACATGAGGCCGCCGCCCCACGAGCTTCGCCATACCGCCGGCCCGGACCCGAGGGCCCAGGAGATCAGGCACGACTCGCTGAGGCCCGACCTCAGGCCCGATCTCAGGCACCCGGACCTCAGGCACCCGGACATGCAGAGGCACCAGGAGCTGCACAGAGCCGAGATGCAGAGGCACCAGGACATCAGGCATCAGGAGATGACGGCCATGAGGCAGGACATCGCTGCCGAGATGAGGCCCGGGCACGAGTTCGATCTCAAGATCGACGTAGCGGACATCAGGAACCAAGAGCAGCCTGGTCAACAACAGCAGCAGCAACAGCAGCAGCAGCAACAACAACAGCAACAACAACAGTCGTCGCAGCAGAGCCAAGCGCATCAGCAGAGGAACCTGAAGAGGGCCATGAGCGACTCCGACTGCGACGACGTCTTCTCGGAAGAGAGCGGCAAAGAACCGTGAGTACACGAGGAACGATCGTCTTTCGATCGCTAGAAATGGGAATCTACCTACCGTTTCGAGACGATTCTCCGAAATCGAGCGGCGAAACGCTTTCGATTGCATTTATTGTAGAAGAGAACGAAAATCATTGCAATCTTGCTGTTTCTCTTCCGCGTATTGGCTTAGCAGATCATCCCAATTTGTAGGTGCGACAGTATTATACAGGATATTCATACGGGACACTCCCCCCTTCCATAATCGAAGGACTACATTTCCTATACGCAATTGCATCCACCGGTCAGCGTTGAAACTTTGTTATTTGAACCTAATATTTCCACGTTTCCATATATTTGTCTTTTTTTTTTACAAAAATGTAATTTTAGCGTTTAGTTACTTGCGACACTTATTAAGTTATACGAGCCGCTCATTTGCCAGATCGATTAATTCCATAAAACAGAAAATCAGAAATGCGATGAGATAATATACGTTGTTTTCCAAAAGTTCCTTCAAAATAAAAACTGAAATAAACATATATATAATATATAATATAATATAATATAATGTACATATATATATATGTATAATGCATAAATTCAGATGTTGCTTTCATATAAAAACACGTGGAATGAATAAGATAGAATAGTTTCGGTGTAATTGTTACGACAAGGTTAGGAGATTTTATTCGCTCGCTTGCATTTTTTCACTCGGCGGCGACACTTTGATTAGCCATATTGTAGAGTTTCGCAACATATGTCGGAACGCGTTCTCACAATCGCCGGATAATTAAACGGCGATTGTTCTCCGGTTCCGCGGGATCGCGACGCGTCTCGCTTTCGACCCCGGCGCCGAGTCCTTTTCGACCGGAAGTTACAAAGCCGCCGCGGCATCGATTATTTAGGTGCTCGCTCGTCCCTCGGGGTTCGTCTCTCGAGCTGTCGGAATCGTCGCGCGAGTTGAAAGCGTTCGCGTGCGAACGTCTCCGATCGCGGGAAGGAGACGGGGCGAACCCGCGAGTCGCGACGCGGGGGATGGGACAGGATCGAACGAAACGGGCGGGAAGAGGGAGGGAACGTCGCACGCGAATATTTGAAACGTAACTGGCGGATCCGAGCCGTCTGTGCGACTCAGGCCGACTCACCGGCCTTTGTTTGCCGCTTTTCTTTTTGCTCGATATAGTTGCAACTCGCCCGGAGGCGACTCCTGTCAGCACGCGTCGCGTAAGCGCAGGAGAGGGATGATCGAGAAGAAGCGTCGCGACAGGATAAACGCGTCCCTCGGCGAGCTGCGGAGATTGGTACCCGCAGCGGCGAGGGATCCGCACAGCGGCAAATTGGAAAAGGCGGAAATCCTGCAGCTGACCGTCGAGCATCTGCGGACGCTCCGGAACAAAGGTAAGTTCTCTGGATAGTCGCGACTACTGCTGCTGCTACTACTACCCTTTTGCTCGCGTCCCCGATCGAATCGTCGCGGTCCTCGTCGATCCGACGGCGACCCTAACCGCGACCGGAAGACACCTGTTGACCGTGGGTCGTCGCGCGAACCTCGGCGACCGTCGGCGTAACTCTGCAACCGAACAACCATCTGTCGTCTGTTACGTCGGTCCGTAACGATATCCTCCACTCGTTTCACGCTTTTCCACCCTCCTCGTTTAATTACCGGCCACCTATGCTGCTGCACACCTATCCGCGGCCCCTATTGCTCGCAGGTCCGTTCGAAAGATCGAAAAATCTCCGGTGAAACGCCGCGGTAATTTCTCTCACATCGTCCTTCAGCTTGAGAACGATAATGGACAATTTGGGGAAAGCTGGGCCAGGAGAAAATGGATTGTTGAAATTATAAATTGCAGTAAATTATAGTTGAGGTAAAGAATGATAAAAAAATAGTAAATAGTAAATAAACAGTAAATAAATAATAAATAGTAAATAAATAGTGAATAGGAAATAAATAGGAAACAATAAATAATAAGTAAATAGCAAATAAATAATAAATAGTAAATAGTAAATGGTAAATAAATAATAAATAGTAAATGGTAAATAAATAATGAATAATGAAGTAGTAAATGTTAAATAAATAATAAATGGTAAATGAACAATGAATAATAAATAGTAAATAGTAAATAAATAATGAATAATAAATAGTAAATGAATAGTAAATTATCATCGAATGTGATACAGAATTTGGCAAATAAATTTCTCTTTTCAAACCAGTAGTTACACGTGGAAATATCATTTCATATATATTCGAACACTATTATCATTCGATTACGCGGGAAGGTAAAAATATTTCTAGACCATTTACTATTTCAAAAATCTATCTGTCCCGGGCACTGGTTGTTGCGGCAACTATAGCGGCAACTATAAAAAAAAGAAACGAGCCGCGAGGCTCGAATAATCGTGTATCTTATCGTCTCAAATAAATCCATTTTTACTTACACTGCTGTGGGACAATTCGAGCGAATTTACAGCGACTGGTCGGCGATGGGAACGCCTAAATGGTGTCGAGCGGGGACAAAGTATCCACGGCGAATAGAAAATACCGCGGGAATCTCCGGTCCCGTCCGTGATCCCGAATAGGATCGAGGCCGGAGAGAGCGTGTACCGCTAGTCGAGATATTCCCGGAGGAGGAGCAGGTGCTGGGACCCGAAACGGAGATCCTGTGGGAAGGATAGGAAGTCAACGACTCTTCCGAGGCGGTATTCCCACGATTGGTGGCGGTGCTAGGTGGTGGGGTACCCCCGCGCCGAGCTCGGCACCCTCCGCGGACGAGCCGCCGACTCCCTTGCTCCCTTGCTCCCTTGCTCCCTTACTCCCTTACTCCCATGCCCACGGTTGGGACAGATGTCGAACTCTGTGGGAAACCGACTCGCGTCCCGTTCCGTCCCGTTTCGTTCTATTCCGTGCGTCCGTGTACGCTTATGCATACGGTATTTGCCAAATCGACCCTCGAGCACCTCCGGAGATGCCGGCGATAGCATGCACTTTATACACCCTTACACATCCGTAAAGTAGGTTCAACGATCCTATAAGAACATTCGTTTATCAACGACGACCACCTTTCGTTCGTGAAACGGGAATAAGAGCGAATCGAGTTTCATGGGGGTCGGTGCTAAGAGGATATGTACTTTCAGTCTTTTAATCGACGTTGATTCGGCCGAGATACGACAACTTTGGAAAATTAACCCTTTGCACCCCGCTGTCCCCTCACGTGGGACATCGTAATTCTAGCATATCGCTCGGACGTCCCCTCTCGTGGGACATTCAAGTTTATTAGCGATTACGGGGAATCGAGTTATTTCGGCGCAACTTTTTCAGACATGCACGTTTCCCTGAAGTTTTCTCTTGAAACGCTGAGTAGCTGGTAGTCAACGTCCAGAATGGTTCGGAGTGCTAAGGGTTAACGTAGAGACCTGTACGCGAGAAGCCTAAAAATTCGTCCTAGAGAGCAGCTCGAATGCAGCGAATTCTCTCGAATTGTCCCACAGATTGTAAACAAAACTGGACATCTCGAGAAGAGAAGACGCGATTGTTCGAGCCTCGCCGTTCCTTTTTATATCTGTTGACGATCGACAACTATATCAGATCGAGTCATGCATAATTTCCGTCTCTATATCAGACATTTATTTTATTCCTTTCTTTTTTATACATTCATTTATTTTTGTTTTATTTTACTTATTTTAAATCCTTATCTACTCAACGAAAGCAAAAGCTCGTTTGCCCCGGCGACTCGCAGCGGGTAGATTCACGAACAATAGATCCTACGTAGCCGCATGGACGGTTATTTTGCAGTTATTCGACTCGAGCCAATATAAAAACAAGCCGCGAGACTCGAATAATCGCGTCTCTTTCCTCCAAATTCTGTTAATTTCCGTTCACAAGCCGAGGTACACAACCCGAGAGAATTTTCTGTACCGCCAACAATATTTCCTCGCGGATCCAGCGATGCCCAAGATCCTAGATCATCGGGGTATTTGCATGGAGCGCTATAGGGGTCTAATAAGGTTCCCACGCTGCTACCTGTCCCATCGACCGTCGCAATGGCAGCCGTCAGCCGGTGGCCGACAGCCGGCTACGAGAGAGACACCCTGCGAGAGAGCTCGCCTGGCGATCCTCCTTCTCGAGGACGAGTTTGGGAAGCGACTCTACCAATGATCGGTTATCCTTGCAGGACCGGAGGGCTACGACAGTACAAAGCTGGCGATGGACTACCACGCGGTGGGCTGGGGCGAGTGCGCCGCGGAAGTGGGCCGCTACCTCGTCACCATGGAGGGCCTGGACGAGAGGGACCCCCTGAGATTGCGACTGCTCTCCCACCTGCAGAGCTTCCACCGCGAGCACGCACCGGGCCCCGGCCCCGGCCCAGGTGGCCACGGACCCGTCCCCTCCGCCGTGCCCCCGCCAACGTCGCTGACGTCGACGTCTTCGACGAGCAGCTACGAGCCGGCGAGCACCGTCTCCGGGATGCCGACCGGCACCGGGACCATGCCGCCCCTTCTAGGCGGCGGCGCCCTCGGATGGAGCCAGTATCCAGGCCAGTACCCTCAGCAGCAGCACGGCAAGCCCTACAGACCCTGGGGAGCGGAGCTAGCATATTGAGGCCTGGCCTCTCGGATCGACCCTTCGCGGACGTACCTGGACGAAAGCGGAGACCCTTCGAGTACTATGACGCCGCGGTAGCGACCGCGAGCTGGCCTCATCGATTGCAATGCAAATCTTTTCAGTCTCTCGGTGTTCGCAAAGGGCTGATCCGAAGCCGGATCGAAAGCTGGATCCGTGGCACGATCCACCGAAATACGCACCGAAGTGTTTTCTCTATGTGTGATACGATCGATAGTCATGCGAGTACCTAATAGCGGAATATTAGCGCGATATTATTTATTCTATATTACCTTGGCTCGCGAGGTCTGCCGAATGGCGAGCGCGGTCCTGTACAGTGTACATAAAAGTATACATATTTTTCTTGTAAATAAGAGAACGATCTCGTTCGTTCAACTAGGAGGAGATCGGCGCACCCGGAACGTTTAAAACAGAGTCGGGCGAGAAGCGTTTGTCCGAATGGAAATCTCGAGCGAAACGATTAAAAGGCGAGCGAAGATTTTCGTCGTTGTTCGGGATAAATAATTTAACCCCGGCGAGAATTTATCCGACGAACAAAGAGAACCCTTTCGGTACGAGCGCCGGATATATCCGGCATCCATCCGACGACCGATATGGACGAGTGCCGAATACATCTGGCATCCGTGTAAGCCATATTTCTGACATATTAGAAACTATTCTAATAATCGTTCGAGTCCGAAGCAGCGCTATCACGGATGAATTCTCGTCGAATGAAATTATCGATTCCATACTCGTCGAATAAAAGTACCTTCTTTTTTATCCGAATATTCGAACAACGAACAAGAATCGAAAGTATCTTTTATACGAGTCGTTATTTAACCTTTTAGGTACGGCTGAATTCTGCGCGAGGCTATTTCTCTGGACGGCAGAGTCTGATATCTACTGTACAGAGTGTCTGTATATTCTGTATATGTATATGTTTTCTTTCTGCATATGTATTTCGTATATTCTGCCTGTATGTTGTTAAGACTGTTGTAAATCGATGCGAAGAGAAAAGAAGTGTGAAACAATGCATATACGAAGACGATTATTTGATTCGAACGATGACCGAGTGAGCTGCTAGAGTAAGCCCACTATAGTGAAGCCACTATAGTGAAGCTGCTAGAGTAAGCCCACTATAGTGAAGCTGCTAGAGTAAGCCCACTATAGCGAAGCCACTATAGTGAAGCCACTATAGTGAAGCTGCTAGAGTAAGCCCACTATAGTGAAGCTGCTAGAGTAAGCCCACTATAGCGAAGCCACTATAGTGAAGCCACTATAGTGGCGCGTCGTGCCTAAAAGGTTAAATAATTTTTCATCGAAATAATGCCCGACTCCGGCTGGATCGACCAGATTTCGCGGGACTCGGGGGGGTGGTGCCGGTCGTTGCAGCGTTCGAAAGTATGATAAAACGATCGAAAAAGCGTGCGACCAACGGAAGGAGAAAGAGAAGAACGAGAACGCTGCACGCGCGTGGACGTTCGCATATTTTTGCACCGTATCTTTTGTACCGGAACCAGACGAGGACAAAGCCGCGGCGACGCGTGCTGGCCCGTGGTCCTTTCAAATAAATACGATTTCATGGGAATTTCGTGTACGACGCTGTTGTACGCGGTGGTGTGCCTCCGTGGATCGCAAAAGCGTTCCCGCCTCCCATCGCCCCACCGGTCCTTTAAATCCGGACACATCCTTAAACCCGCAGCTTTCGCATTATCATGTAAAAATTGGCCGCAGCGGCCAACGCGGGGCGGGGGAACCGGGTCTCGGAACCCGGGGCGTTTCTTTTGGCGTCGCGACGACGCGCGAACCAGTTTAGCCAGTCTCGTTAAACCTCTCGTAAAAAGCCTCCGCGAAACGGGAATACGCTCGGGGGACAATTAGCAGCCGGCTCTTCTTTTTTCTTTTTTTTTTCCACGAATATTCAGAAACCACGGGGAGGCGAAACTAATTCCCGGGAACGGGAGTAACGGCCCGCGAACACGTGGCCATTGTTCGTAACCGAATTAGCAGGCCGCCGCCCCCTCTGCACCCGCGGAGCCATCGCTAATTGCCCCGGCGTTGTTCGCGCCTCGTTTCTAACGCTCCCCGCGAAAAGCCGAAGCTCGTCGCGAAACGTGTTACGCGCGCGAAATCGATCGGCTCGGCGACGATTTGCTCTCGAAGCCTGAACGGGGTAGCGCGACACGCTGCGAAATTAGGAGAAGTCGTCGCGTTTCTCATCGGAGATGTTCGAGGACACTTTTTAAAATTTTTGGCCGATAATTGAGCCGCGTGTATGGAATTAGTCGTGAAAATGAAGAAGAGCGATTAAACGCGTCACTTGAGAATAAATTGAATGATTTGACAGGATCCGAGTAAAAATATTCCGTTTAATATCGACCAATGGCAGTCACCTGTGACGTCGTAAGACGTATCTCGGAATATTTCACGATTTATCGAACAGTATATAGCAAGTATTGTGATGAAACGTACGATTTAGATTTTGTACGCATAATTCTTTAATGCGATAGTTAATGTAAGAAAATCCCGAGTCAAAGTTTGACGCGATATTTTGTGTCCTCCGTTGTGAAGGGGACGAAGAAGGGAAGAAGAAAGGCAACGATTTGTGTGCATGCCATTTGCGTTAACAATGAAAGGTCGCGAATCAAATTTGCGGGGACAGAGCTGTGCGATGTAAATGGATCGAGATGAACTCTCGTAGATAGAAACGAAGCAAAAAGATAGTGCTTGCTTTCGATATATGAGCCGTTTGTTTTGAAAGTGGCATAAGTCACTTTACCGTAGTGAAAAGTGGTGATCTTTTAATGTTTATACGAAATTGTTTATACCGAGAAAAATATCAGTTTCTGGTTTCTTCCGTTTCATTTATTTCTCGTTATCGTGAAAACGTTTCTCGGAAAATTTGTTTGGGTAGACTTCTTTGTTCGAGCATATATAGTATAATATATAATATATATATTTATATTATATATATATTATATTATATTTATTATTCTATATTTTATATTATATTTATATTATATTATAATATAATATATAATAATATATATATAGTTTTATGAAATAATAAAATTTCAATCTCGTCGTTACCATAAAACAATATACGTTGGCCGCGTTGATCATCTCGTTTCGTCAGCTTGAACGAGTCGATCCGCGTCGTGACGCGTCGCAAGGTCGTTCCTTGAAAAAATCATAAGCAAGTTGCCGTGAAGCTGTTGGCGGTGCAGTTGCATTTTAAGACCGTCGCGCGCAATCGCGACCGATCGAAACCGCGGCCAGGGTGACCAGGAGTCAGGGAAACACGAAAATCAATCGATAAAACTATTTTATTCAAGACAATCGCGCATTCATTAGAAAGTCACAGCCTCGTCGGACATGCGGTAAGAACGCGATCGAGACGCATCGTTCATCCGTATCCGTGCGCGCTCGCACGCTGCCACCGCTTATATTTATATACATACGTGTACATATATACATAGAAATTCTACGGACTATACGTAAGTAAATAGTTGGAATGTCTCCATCTCTCTCTCTCTCTCTCTCTTTCTCTCTCTCTCTCGCTCATTCTCTTTCTCTCCTTCTCTCAATCTCTCTCTCTCGCTCATTCTTTTTCTCTCCTTCTCTCTCTCTCTCTCTCTCTCTCACTCTCTCTCTCTCTCTTCCTCACGCACACGCGCTCTTTCTCTCGCTCCTTCTTGCACTCTTCCACTCCCGCCATATTTCCGCGTTTTTTACCGGAGCCGACAGGAACGAAAAAGAGACAAAAGATACATCTATCAGTTCGAGCAAAAGTGCAAACGAGACGCGTTAGTCTCGCCTCCCGCCTTCTCCTTGCTCACTCTCTCTCTCTCTCTCTCTCTCTNCTCTCTCTCTCTCTCTCTCTCTCTCTCTCTCTCTCTCTCTCTCTCTCTCTCTCTCTCTCTCTCTCTCTCTGTCGTTTCGCGACCGTGGTTGGCTAACTCTAACATCGATTGTGTGCCGAGTAGGGGTGCGCGGGTATTCGAAATTTTGGGCACCCGAGCCTCGGGTCGGATTTTTGCCATTGATCGGGTCGGTTCGTTCTGGGCCCCAAAAATTTTCGGATCCTCGAAGCTCCGAATATCGGGCTCCAAAAACCTTCGAGTACCCGAAATTCTAAAATAGAATCGGGGTGGCTTATTTTAGACATCTCAGACAATTTTCATTTTTGTAGACAAAATCAAGAGAAAACTGCCTCAAGTATATTTCTGTATTTCTATATTCATCCCCCCTCCTCGCCAAAAAAGTATTAAGACACCTGCTTATCTCATGTAAATTGTAACATTTCATTCGATTTATCTAATATCTGCAAGCTTGCATCGTATTGTCGACGGTACATACATTAAGTTATAAGCAAACGTTTTTATTGCATTTTGTTCGTAGAAAACGTATCCTGAGTTGACTTCGTACTCTTCCCTCGGAACGACACGCATCGATTCCCGATACGTTTTCTTAATACATGAAGCATGCTACTAACTGCGCGGAACTAAAGAGAATCCGAAATGATAGAAACATTAATTTACACGGATTCGCCGAAATTAGTCCAAGAAGCAATCGAGAAACGCGGTGGATGTATCGACGAGAAGAAAACGTAATTTTCTTTCATTAAATTGACGTTATTTTGAATACAACGTAAAATATATCGATGCGCTTGTTGCATGTTTAATACGATTAACTTTGAAAACAATTGTTTAAACTATAACAATTTCCTATCGGATTGTCATACTTATTTAATTTTCCGTAGGTGTCCTAATACTTTCGGAGGGTGGTGTACCTACATTTCTAAAAAATATCTGGATTTATGAGCGCTCCCCGCATCCGCTTTTAGCATTTCCGGTAACCGAAAATTTTCGGGGCGAGATTTGAAATTCTGGTGCCCGAGCTTTTAGATTATTCGAAAGTTTCGGGTGTCCGACCTGAACCCGATGAAATACAGAGTGTCCCAAAAATGTCTGGCAATCCGAAAGTGGCGGGTTCCTCGGGTCGTTTGAAGCAACTTTTTCCTTTACAAAAATGTTTTCCGAGGCACCGTTAACGAGTTATCAACGAAAAACAGTGACCAATGAGAGGCGAGCTCGGCTGGCGCGAGGCGACCGAGCCAATGAGCGGAACCGGGCTTCGCGCGCTGGTCGGCTGGGCTGCCTCGCGTCAGCCGTACTCGATTCTTATTGGTCACTGTTTTTCGTTAATAACTCGTTAACGGTGCCTCGGAGAACATTATTGTAAAGGAAGAAGTTGCTTCAAATAATACGAGGAACCCGTCATTTCCGGATTGCGAGACATTTTTGGGACACCCTGTAGTATATCCGACCCGATTTTAACCCGTGATCTCGGGTACCCGCCCACCTCTAGTGCCGAGTATTTCGAGAATAATGCTACGGATACTTGTTAGTTATTAACGTACCAGAGATTTCGGGTCGCGAGTTCTGCATGGTTTCGTTGTACGAGCTAGTTTCGTCGGCGATCAACGCCGGAGGACAGAAGAAATATCGGGCTCGAGTCCGAGCGGACCGCTCCCTCTTTAACCTTTTAGGCACGATGCGCCACTATAGCGGCTTTCGCGGATGTCATCTCTCTGGACGACACGCCACTATAGTGGCTTGCTTTAGTAGCTCACTCGCTCATCGTTCGAATCAAATAATCGTCTTCATACGCATTGTTTCACACTTCTTTTGTCTTCGCATCGATTTACGACAGTCTACAGGGTGTCCCAAAAATGTCTCGCAATCCGGAAATGGCGGGTTCCTCGGATCATTCGAAGCAACTTCTTCCTTTACAAAAATGTTCTCCGAGGCACCGTTGACGAGTTATCAACGAAAAACAGTGACCAATAAGAATCGAGTACGGCTGACGAGAGGCGGCCCAGTCAACCAGCGCACGAAGCCCAGTTCCGCTCATTGGCTCGGTCGCCTCGCGCCAGCCGAGCTCGCCTCTCATTGGTCACTGTTTTTCGTTGATAACTCGTTAACGGTGCCTCGGAGAAAATTTTTGTAAATCCCGAGGAACCCGCCACTTTCGGATTGCGAGACATTTTTTGGGACGCCCTGTATCAGACTCTGTACAGTACACATCAGACTCTGCCGTCCATAGAAACAGCCTCGCGCAGAATTCAGCCGTGCCTGAAAGATTAAAGTATCGCCACGAAATAAATATCGTCCACGCGTAAGTTGCCGAAACAACCTCTGGAATCTAATCGGATCGAAGTTACCGTTCTACCTTCGTGCAAACGTTCTCGTCGATATCCGGAGAGACGATTACAATAATCCGCCGGAACCCGAGCCCGACGATTACAACGATCGAACGAACGATCGCAACGATTGCACGACTACCGGAACGCCCTTGCGCGGCCCGCGCGATCCACGCGCCTGGACAGAGGACGTTTTACACTTTTGTACGTTGCTCTCTCGCGAAAACTATACGACGGGTTTCCGTGGACAAATGTTCGGTTCGGTTACGCGAGATCGAGCGCGCTCGACGCGCTCGTCCGAACGAGAATCGCGGATAAACAAATACTTGGAAACATCGCGACGCTTTTTCGGTAAGTTCGCTTTTTCGGTAAAACGCCCCCTAACGTAAATCTAGAAAAGGCTAAAAACGAAAAACGTAGAGTTAGAGGTTATCCGAAAAGTCTCTCCGAATCGTGTTTCATCGAAACACGGAAACCCTCGGTCGGACCATCGACGATGATTCGTGCCGACCGAGTCAACGGTGTCCGCCATAGTTACACGCAGATATTAGGAAAATCGTCGAAAAATAAGTTACAAGTACTCTTTGGAACGGATTACAGGAGGAGTTGTCGAGGAGGTTCGCGTTATCCCTGCTCGATGCCCGGACGCGCCGCCGACCGCCGAAGATGGCCGATCCCCTCCGATTCGGCACCGCCGAGACAGAGGCCGCGTCGCGGAGACTTCCGAACGGCGAACGTTCGCGTTACATGATCATCTCGTTCTCGATATTCTCGTTCCTCTGGTTCTCCTCGTACTCGTCGCAGTAGCAGCAGGTCGAGACGCAGTCCTCCGAGTTCTCGGCCACGTAAGTGGTGTAGGTGTCGATGCTTTTCGCGTCCAGCGACGGCATAGACCACGACAGAGAGGCGGTCTCGATGTCCGGCATGGCCGACTGCCAAGAGGTCAAGTTCTGCGACTTTTTCGCCTCCCGGCTCCTCGTCGACAGCTTCTTGATCGCCTGCGGATTCGAAATAACAACGTTCTTGTCAACGGTACCATCGAAGAATCGCTGCGCGAAGACAAACAAATAGTTTTCGTAATTTTATAACTAAGGGGTATCTTTCCGTATGCATTCAATAAATAAATAAATAAATAAATAAATAAATAAATAAATAAATAAGTACCCTTAGAATATTTCGGTGTTCAAAAAATCGATATACAAAGAATTGCGCATGAAAATTTGTTGGATATCGAGGACATTTTTGAACCTAGATCGACAATTTAAAAACTGAAAAGCTGCGACTAGAATTTTACGAAAACATTTAACCCTTTGCACTCGATTGGCGACACTGAGACACCAATAAAAATTATTATATCACACGTTCCAATGCCAAAATTGTTTATATCTTAAAAAAGAAAAAACTGTGAAATGTGTGAAACGCATAAAATACACCGAATCGTTTAAAATTGAAATCAGGGATGGGTGCTATCGAAATCAAATATTATTCAAATAATCGTTCGAATAAAATTTGGTATTTCATTTGTTATTTGGTCTATCGCTGTTTTTGAAACAATGTTTACTCGTTCGTCGATATATTCGACAAATAGATTGTTTTCCAAATAATTTCATTGTTTGACGTAGCAAATAATGAAATTATGTGCAATATAATATAATATAATATAATAATGCAAAATAACAAATAACAATTTTCTGTAATACGCGGCTTGTCATTTAGAAATGAAAAGAAAAACTGAGATGCTCTGATCGCGCAAATGGAGATTTTGCGAATCCTTTCCCGAATTCGTAGTATCAAATTTAGAAGACGCTTTGCATATTCACTTATTTTCGAACGTGAGTCATTTAATACCGTCATTGCTGCGTTCTCTCATCCACGCTTTAACGCGAGATGGTTGAACGTAATCAATGAAGCAAAACAGCAACAACCGCGTGACGTGTTTGTAAAAACAGTTGCAGAAAACACTTCTTCTACAAACAAAAACTTGGTGATCGAAGACGATGAATTCAGTTTTGGGTCTAACAAGGAAGACGAACGTAATGCAACCGATAGTAATTTCGTAAATTCTGAAGCAAAATTAGCTGTTCTACGGTATTTTCACGATAAACGAAGAGATACAAATATATTCAAAGACCACTTATCGGCGCAGAAAGTATTTATGCGTTATGACATTCCATTTCCATTATCAGGTTCACTCGAACGACTCTTTTCGTTTGTTACAATTATTAGTAACACTGCAAGCCAATTATCAGATGATAAGTTGTGTAAACTGCCAATAATAATGAATATCCTTATCATGTAAAAAAAATAGTATTATGTATATTATTATAAGTATTAAAAGTATTATATATATATATTTAATTTACATTTATATTTATTTATATTTATTTTAAATTTATTTATATTTCATTTAATATTTAATATTTATAATATTATTATTTATATTTATAATTTACATATATATTAAACATATATACATATATATAAAAGTGTATATTCTTGGTTATTTTGCATTGTCATTTGAAATAACGAAATCAAATAATTTATCTAAATTATTATATAAAATAAATGATTTCACGAATAATATCCCAGAATTTATTTGTATGTATGCTTATTTAAAACAAACTTACTTGTGATCTTATTCGAGGTAGCTATTGTTATCGTTTTTATTTCATATCCTTATATTTCAAATAAAAAAATGTCCGTCCCTGATTGAAATACCGTATAAGTCGCGAGAACCATTTTGAATTTAGAGTTGAAGTAGCTTCAATTTCAAAGGGTTAACCAACGTATGCATGCAGTCTGCCGGTAGGCCACAGGCATACTGTCCTCAACGCTTAAACGGTGAGTTGCCTCGCGGCGCTTTATTTACCTAGAGCGTGTCGAATCAACGAAGAAGTTCGTTCCTTTCCGCGGCGGGAAACATGTCGGATCATTAACTTGGCGTAGTTTTCGTAAAGTCTGTACGCTGGGATCGCGTACGCGTTTCGATGACCGTGTCGACTGTGCGACGTCGATGGTGCGCGCTCCGTACACGCTGTCGCAACATTCTCGCGAGTCCAAACACGGGCGGCGGGGGTGGTTAAACGAATCGATGTTGAGCGAGGTCACGCCGATCAAAATTACTCGGTCATGAATAGTTGATCGAATTTAACCCTTAGCACTCCGAACCATTCTGGACATTGGTTACCAGCTACTCAGCGCCACTTTTCGGCAGAAACGGTCATTTACAGACCCTCTTATTATTTGGTATGCTTTTGGAACTAACTAACATATTATAATGATATTGGACTTATACGAATTTGGCTGAAATCGAGAAATTTGCAAACAAATCAATATTTTATTTTTTATAATTTTGTTATCGTTTGTTTTATAATTTTGTTTCGTTGTTGCAATCGCTGTCTATGCGAACTCTTTCTCTCGACGCCTTGTTGCTTGGACGATATCACTGTCGCTGCTATCAAAACGATAGACCAACTGTAGAAGAAAACCTTCTACAGTTAGTCTTTCTAACGTATCTGTATAAACGTCTATCCGGAGCTCGTCTTCGCTACTACTTGTGTCACGAGACTCATTCGTGTTCGAACGTTTTGCCATTGTTCTAATAAAAAATACGAATAAATACATAGGTTGAAAATTTCTAATCGTTATTACTAACTCGCAAGATGATATTTACCAAAAAAACTTTTACCAAACGATTTATTTACCAAGAGAAGAATCACTTTTCCGATTTTCTCACTCGTTAGATCTATCTATACCGCTCGACGCTTCGAACCAGACCGAGTTCGGCTTTGAAAATCTTTTCCTCCAGATTTTATGATTATAAATCTC